ATGTACGAATCCGTTGTTGCTTATATAAAGAATTCAATCAACCAACATCATAACCGCTATGATAATCAATGATATGCAACTATTTTCTAAGGAGAGGTTGGATGCCTCTCCTCCAAAATGTATGAGACTGGCAATCAAATAAGTCGGTGAGGTCTTCTTTTAGCTGGTTGTAGTCTTTGAATTTTTCCTCCCGCAAATGTTGATTCATGGCCCGAATGAATGACATATCGACGGAGCAATATCAGAGGATATAAGGTGGATCTCATACCCGTGGTCCAGCTTAGTTTCTCTAGAAGGTGAGGAGTCGACTTTACAGTGTGAGGTCGAGCGTTACTGGAAAAGGGCGACACTGAGTTGTTTCGGAAATTTTTTCACGCTGCTACGGCCGACTTCTGGAGCTATTCTCCAGGAACGCCGGCTCTGAGCACCTGCTTCTTGTCGAGCAGTTTCCTAAACAGCATACTCTGCCCAATCTCGGGAAATCGCGAGCGTAGTCTGTGAGCATAGAAATTAAGCTGGCTTTGGTTGAGCTGGCAGGTGTGGCTGTCTGTATCGTGGCCCTAGTATGCTAGTATCTAGCCATTTTTAGTGTGCTATCTCCTGACTAAAGCTACCACAACACTAGAAACATATCAAAACTTTTTGGTCTAACCCGATTTGAAATTTTAAAAAGAACTGCATAAAATAATAGTGCGATAGAAATTTTTGAACAGCCCAATACTTTCATAGTACTCAGTGCCCGCTCAAAGTACCGGAGGATTTAAGTAAAGCGTTGCTCAAACGACTCTAGAAAACGCTACACGCACGATTATATTGCACTTTAGCTGTGAGCTAGTTGCGGAGATTCCTACCCTCAACACCTTTCTTCATTCTCTCATTCACTTCAACTCTCCCTTCTCGCATTTTTCCTCCCTTCCTGTGATTCATTTGGCAAAAATGATTGATACGCCGTAATATGCAGGTAACCCTATTGAACAATCATAGTCCTAGAATTTGGAGCTCTCTAATGGCTCTGCAACATCAGAAATGGAGTAGATGTCAATTGGGAGTAGATGTCAATATGACTATTGTTAACTTATATTTTGATATACTGATAAAATCACAAGAGGTTGATGTGAACTCTCAACTATGGCTAACATCCCAACACCTTAATTTTTTGGAAACCTAATTCAACTCGTTGTAACACAAACGACGACTGCACTGATCACTTATCTCTAATCACAGCTTTTCTGAAGAATACGAAAAGGCTGAAATTTCAATCAAAACAAGGAACGCTATAACGTAGTTCGTAAAAAGTCTACAGATCCTCACAAAAAGTTTGTTAGGGTGCTTATTCATTATATGGCGATAATTATTCCATTATATAGCGATAGCGTAAGATTTGGAGGTTCCAACGCTGAGCTTATTTTTTGGAAAAAGTTTCTCCGCACTGCAGCAGGACGATAGGATTGAATTCACATTAGCGAGCATGGGTATTTCGGTGATTCGCTATGAGAGAGACTCCAGATTGAAGGTCTGAAAGGAGTCAGAACTTCCTTTGTCGCCATGTTATACATAAGAACCTTTGTTAGCTTTTCAGTACAACAAAATAATAATTATTCACGCCAAGGTTGGATGAAAGTCAACTTCAAAAAATAGCTTTCAGCAATTTATACTATCTTACGGTAGTGTTTTTTGGAGTCTCATAATTCTTGGAAGCGGTAGCGGTTGAAATGTTTTATGAGTTTCAGTTTGTGTTCTATGGAAATTTGTCTATTAGAGTATATACTCCTCAATTCAATGTCTAATTGCTCGGAATTTTCATCTCATAACGACTTCCGCATTGCCAAGGAAGCACGTCAGTGGACAATGGAGAATGTTAACTATTCCAGCGTTATTCTTGTGGTTCTAAGCTAACGTTGTTTCTACAGATGAATTATTAACTCGAACATGCATGATCCATATCATCTCATCAACTAGAATAACTCTAACCCTCCTTTTTATCGTCGGAAATTTTCTCACCATTTCATTAGAAAAAGAAATGATGATCAAGCTTTTGCTTAGGTTGTCCCTGTTGGTTTATTTGAATTCTACAAGCGCTCTCTGCAATTGCATATATACGGGGTTTAGCATTATAGACAATTTTAAACGGCGAATCTCACTATTTTTTGTGCTTCTGCTTTTTATCCTAATCTATGATTCCACCAGACATCATTGTTAAGATAGTGCTAGAACAAATGTGATGTAGTTCCAATTACATTCGCAAGAATTATAATGAAGAATATCATACATTAATAAAAAAGAGGAAAATTTTTTGGGGTTCAATATTCAACAAAGCCTGATAAAGTAGGTGGCAACTCCTAGATCCAGCTCTCCAGTCCGTATGTGGGCACTTTGCCCTTTAAGGTTTTAACTGCATTGCCTCCTTTTCTTCGTTTTTAGTATAATTGACATCTTAGTTTGATTTTTTATTTGCAAAAAATATTTTCCAATATGCACTTCGAACATGCGCATGTGTGTGCTTACTAACAACTTAAACAAAAATAAGATCATGATCTCCCTCTACGACAACCAGCTCGTCGGACGAGTTGACTCCATTTCGCGATTTAACCATTTCGGGATCGCGTGTACCATGAGTGGTACACTCAAATTTTCGCGATTTTTCGTCAGCCATAGAGTAAAAAATTGCGGTTTTGAAGGTGTCCCTGGCTTTTGAAAATATTTTTCAGTGAGCTGTAGCAGCAAAAAGAAAATTGCGTTTTTTCTCTTTGGAGTGTACAGTGTGATTTGCACTCGTGTCCACACTGTTTTTTTCGTACAGCAAAGGTATTAGCCAAATTTCCAGTAATCATTCGATAGCTTAAGAAATGATGATTCTAAATATATACTTGGTTTTCAAATTGATTAGCGAATATAAGTTTTTGAACTCTGTAAAAACGGTCAACAAAAACTGCGTTCTGCTTACGGACTGCTTTGCGTGCTTCACTATCGGTTATGCTTGGCCTTAAAGCTTTGATAATCGTCGATAGTTCGAAAACTGTAGATTTTACAAACTAATTCGGTTTTTTGGAACTGATATTTAGTGCCTTGAAGCAAGGTAAATATGATTACATTTTACACTCTGAGTGAACATCTAATCTATTAGACTTCGTATTGCATGTTTTGGTGATCGTATAGTGAAATCTGTACCTATGAGGCAATTTATGATCAGAATGAATGATATGTTTATAGGCCTCCTATAAAAGTCTTTTTTAGTAGGATGAAAGTCCACTTTTCCCATTTGTCAATACCAACGTAACATCATGAGGAAAATAGAGCATTTCCATTCGTTACTTCTTGTTTTTTGACGATATACAACAGTGTAGAACTGGAAAGGATTTTTTTTTCGATTTATGACTTCTTCAAGAAGCTTATGTAGTGTGAGTTTTGGCACGCAGTGGAATAAGCTTCTATAAAGCCCACAATCATCAATTTTCAGAGTACTTCTCTGAAGAATTTGCATAATCCTCACTCTAAAATTTTCAATCATTTCACTGATGATGTTGATCTTTCCTCTGAAATATTTATTCAGCAAACAATAAATAATACAACAACCATCGATCATTAGCAGTTCACTCAAAATATCAGTGCCGGTCAATATTCACCCGCATTGCATAGATTTGCTGTTGCATTTAACAAGTTATGCGTTCTATAACAATAAACATCAAGTCCTAGAATAATCAGTTCTCGGTTCATGAATGTCTTTAGTATTATACGACATGAGTTTTTGACCTAAATTATATAACTTGTCAAACGCCAAGACGCCTAAAAAACACATCTCCAATGAGCAGTGTTGGAACAAGGTAAACAAATATATATCCCTATACAATCAAGCACATATGCGTCACAATGCGGAAGAACAGTCGGATGTTCCTGACCTGTGAGATTAGATATTGCAAAGCAATATCGCAACAAAATGCACTCACCATTTACATGTCTTCCTGGTGTATGAGCAATAGGCAGCCATTTGGTCAGGGAAATCGACGAACAACTTGTGCCTGTTGTAAATCTCCACAGCCTCGTACTCCTAGGAAGGTGTTTCTTAAAGACGTATGGCTGCTCCAAAAGTTTTTCAGGTGTGATAGCTTTACATCACTCATTTGCATACACAAAGCTACGAATGTCTTCATTTCCTCCGCAGTGGTATCCTCCCAATCGGCCTTCTTCGGAGTGCCATAGATGTTTGTTTGCTCTAAAATCAACTCCCAATGATCGGTCATGAGCAGTTCGTAGAAATGAGCTGCTTGCCGGCATCCGGTAACAATACTGTGTTGAACACCTGCCGCTGGATCATCAAAGGGCAGGACGGTGAGTGGCCGCACATTGGTGGTCCAATCACCATTTACAATGTCAGCATTCAAAAGAGCTCTTTGTGCATCGTCAGTTCCGTCATCGTCATCCTTTGAACCTTGTGGGGTGTGCACATTTTTGTCCATGCTCGCGTGTGCTTCGCTCCCAGTGTCCTCGTCAGTGCTTACAGCCAAACGCTGGAGCATGGTTTCCAATTCTTCATCTTCAGAAACTTCCCAGTCTTCTTCTACTAAGGCTTCACCGTCTTTATCTTCCGACATGACGGCTTTGAACGGTGAGCTCTCGAATATTCGCAAATAACATAGCAAGTCATAGTTGTAATGGAGTAATGAACTCAAATCGATAGTAATAAGAAGAAGAAAAGCGAATACTCTTAAGCAGCTAAACTAACAAAACGATAGCGATGTAACAGCTAGTTAACGAGAATGCTACATAGCAATCAATGAAGCTGTATATTCTTACCTTCGCGCACAAGCTCTTTGATATACCCAATAATGTGGAGTACTACCGCAAGAAGCGGTCAAATAAATGGATTCCGATTGATTATTGATACACAATATTTGTCAGCACAAGTGGGTTCGGTGCCGATAGCGGCTGCCCCGCCAGACCGTAGACGGTCGGCTGTTGATAAATAATGCGTTGTAGCGTAAAAAGAGTGCTGTACAAAACGAGCGTCGGTGGTGCAATGGTTCAGCACATGTTCCTGGAAAGAGTGAGGTCTCGGTTCGAATCCCGGCCGGCTGACGCAAATGTTTTTGCACAGCACTCCACATTATTGGTTATATTACAAGATCGTACTACCGCAAGAAGTGGTCAAATAAGTGAATTCGGCTATGATATACTTACTAGTTCTTCTTTGTACGATTGACTCTTCTTGCACAGAAATTTTCTGCAATCCATAACTCTCCAAGTTCTCGTGTGCATCATTATATAAATTATTGGAAATGAACGAATCACTGCTATATAAACTTGGTTTATGGTTAGAATTATCGGTGCCATGGCATCGCATGCATTGTGCAACACCTTCTTTTGACATAGTGTTCATTGTTATCCAATTTCCAGTCACTATTATAACTCTCAAAAGTTGTTATTAATAAGATATATTGAAACTGATTAACTTATATAATTATATTCTTCGTACAACTTATTACGATTGTCAGAGTACCAACATCACTGCGATTTCGAAGTAAAAGAGAGCTTCTCTTTCCAAATAAAGCCTTTATATTTGCACTAAAAGCATACGAGTGTGTAGAGGAAATCTTAAGCTATCGAACTAAAAGAAAAAACTCCAGATTTATATCAAAAACGATAAAAAAGCCCTAATTAAATACCAAAAATCGGCGATTCGCACTGCCTGTGGCTATTACAACTGGTGATCCCGAAAGGGTTAAAGTATTTGTAACGAGGTGGCATCCCTTGGAGGTGGCTTATCACAGTGGGTTACAGTGGTCAGCACGACATTTTTGTGATCATTTGGTGGCCTACTCCCTTCACATGTTAAACTGCAGCTTGTCTAGAAAGAGATGTTCTCCTAACAATTTCTCGCTAATTTTTTCTCCGCCGGTGTAGTGGAGAGCACGTGAACCCCACATAGGATAATCACTAATTCAAAACCAACCTGAGGTTCCGAGCTTTGCTCATGTCTTATTTTTCTTGTAGTTGTACTACTTCATGTATTTTGAGAGAATGGTGATCTGATTCCATTATAGTCTAGTAGAATGTTTCAAGCAGTTCAGAGGTCTAATATGCTGACGAAAGACGTACGTTTCGGCTTTTTCGCGCACCTCTCAGTTCACATGCGTTACGACTCACCTCTTACTACTAATAACAGCGGCATTGCAGATGTATCAGTCTATACAAAGTGAAATATCATTGATGTTGCGATTTACAATAGGCGCCGAAACGCACGTATGCCACTGGCATACCATAACAAAGGCTTGAAGCATTTTTATAGACTATATTGAATTTTCAAGCCAGCTCTCAAACCTAGTGGATTAAGATATTTAGACTGGATTTATTCGAACGCTAGTCCTTATCTCCCTGGTGAAGGTTCTGGAATTAGGTATTCATCGTACGATCGTTAATGGTTTGTGTAACCAATGTTGATGTTATGCGCGTTCAATAGTTTTTGTTTACGCTCGGATATGTGAAAAATTTTGTGAAAGTTATTTGTTTTCTTCTGCGAAATTCTCTGCTTATTCACAGGTTGAATGCATTTCAAATTTTTTTCCGCTGAAATCAGTGCATAATCTTGCTAAGGCCTTTTTGGGGGTACGTCAACCTCTATGGAACAAAGAAACTGTGGTGCATTGGAACTTGAATAGACCCAGTTCTAGCATGAAAATATAATCATTTGGTTAAATATAAAATGTCTCTACTTAAAAACATACTTAAAAACAAAAATTGCCAGGGTAGTCAAAAAAACTGTAAAGCAATAGATGTACTCAATGCTTAACGAATGCGTCATGCATTCGACACATTCGTATCTACAAAGATGGCTGAGTACATATCTGGCTTATACAAGAGATTACATTGATCTGTCAAATTATCATCTTGAAGTTTTATTTTCTTGACACGTTTAATAGTTTTTCGACCCTGTCAAATGAGGGCTGTTTGGCATTGAAGCGAACTCCACGAGTGTAAACAGGCATCCCTAACCACTGTGCTTACGTGTAATGTAACAAATTGTGCATCTATCTAAGGCAGCTAGATAACTGCCTTAGCATCACAAGAGGGGGAAATAGACGAACCCCGTCATTGAAACGCTTTATGGGACCTTTTCGTGGCTAAACAGCACATCAAATAATCAGACCCTGCCTTCGTCAGTTCTGGCTTTTTGATAAGAAACTAGTACAATTCAAAGCCTGCAAGGATCGGAAATGTCATAATACACACTTTGATTAAGTTATATATGAATGTATAAATGTTTTTAACTTCTTTTAGTCATCTATACAGGACGCTGACTCCGATATTTTCACAAGCTCAATAATTTATGAGGGTCATCCAACGCTTATATGCGTCTTGGCGAATTCTGGAGCTTAGCATAGCATTCATGATGATCTCATTTAGTCAGCTCCTAATGACTACTAAAAATTCATTCGATGCTGCTCTCATTCTTCGGAAGCAGTCAACCTTACAGAAATGAGAAAAGGTTCCGCGTAGGTATTATTAGTACGACAATGTTGCCAGAGGAACCATTTACATAATCATTACGTAAATAGTTTATTAAGAAATAACAGTCTTTGAATAGTTTACCAAAAATAACAGTATTTGAATGACTTATTTTACTTAAAAATTTGTTTGTCAAAGTATCTTTGTGATGTGCAAAGGAAAGGTGCTGTTGTGTTTCAGTCAAAGAGTTCCGCTAATTGCATAGTTTCCGAGTTTCTGTGATCGAAATCACTTGTAGATTTTGTCTGTTTCATTTATTTATCTTCTCCATAATGTGTATGAAAATTCCTCATTAAGCATCTGGTCATCAAAAAAAAAATTAGAATTTGTAAATAGAAGAAGAGAAATGACATCTTTTTGCAATATTCTATACATAGTTGAACCCTTTGTGTAATGGCTTTACTATGCGAAAATTATGCAAACGCCACATACACTGTGGTGTTGTCTTTCATAGATGATTAGCAATGTTTGTCAGAATTGCAGCGGATGTTTCAGATATACTGGCTACATGCGGAGTGTGGACGAATCATGTGGTTTCTGGTGATGAATGTGATGTTACTGCTCATCTGGAATAGGAATACCATCAGCGGCGACTACGATTCGTTTGTACACGAACACACGTCTATAATGGATATCTCGCATCCGTCCGAGCATCATTACAAAACAAGTCGCTATAGGTATGTGAATGTAGTGAGCTAGTTTACTTTCCAATTATAAAACATGGAACTCGACTCTTCCACTTTGTAGCAAGAAAAAAATGATTTGATGAATTCCTCAAAGTGTGTTTATAAAGTTATTAGATCACTATCGTATACGATTTTGGATAAAAGCTTTGCTTGTAGTCAGCATTAGATGAATGGCAACACCTCTCTCATTTAGGAAGTTTGAGTAGTCGCATCGTTTATATTAGAGTGGGTTCGATATTTTGATGGGATTTTTTTATATAACGGAAAGTTTATTTCCCTTGGTCCACGATTGCAATGTGTTTAACAAATGATCATTTGCTAATGCATTTTGTAAAATTGCCCATCACCTTCCTTGCTACACTTCACGAAAATTACGTGCGGGTTTCAATCTTAAAATTTCGAAGAGACAGTTGTTTTAGGTATTGTGCAATAAAACCATTTATGTAACTAATCTACGAAAATTTTTTATTCTACCGCTTTAAACACAAGTGTTACGATATGATTACCATATGACTAATATTGTTGAGTGATATGCAAAACTTTAAACCTCAAGCACAAGTTGGCCACTTCTCTGCTGTAGCTCTTTGCATGTAGGGTATCGAAGCTGACAGCAATCAACCGTCAGCGGGTTCGATCCAGTGAGTGCATATCGGCATTAATTTCAGTTAAGCTGATATCGCAGAAAGAGCGAGAGCAGAGCAACGGCCTCGGTAATGTACTGTTAGCACGCACCTTCGGTAAGACTGTAGTTTTGGTTCAACTTCCGCCTGAGGTCTAGAGTTTTACACATTACTCAAAATTACCAGAAAGTGGTTATTTTCTGATTAGGGCATAAAATCACCAAAGTTGTCAAACTAACTCTAAAATAATTGCCAATTCTAAAAGATATAATTTTTACTAGTTTGGAAAACCGACCTCCACTGAACCTCGTATGAGTAATAGAGAACAACTTGTAAAGTGTCCTTTAATTCAAATAAAACTTGCGCAAGGTTAGTATTACTCTATTCCAAATCGATGGCTAACGTTTCAACAATTTCACTTTTTTCACCGGTGTTTTTTTGCCCCGCCGTCCCTGATTTTGTCCTTGTGAGGCTTCTCAACTTGTATTACAAAGTATCGCCGAACCGAATTAGGCTTGTTCCTCTGATAATTATAAGAATTCATGCAACATGACATATCTAGGTAAGTACGAATTCGAAAAAAAAACAATGACATGAAAATTCTTCTCAGCTAGATGATTAAGCTGCATAGATTTGCAGATGATTGAAGAGTTTTTTTTTTAGTGCAATTTACGACTCTCGTGAAAAAATTCTGACAATTTTTTTCAAAGGAAAAAAACTATGGTCTTTGTTTTTATCAAGATGATATTATAATGAGTAATGACTCTTGAGTCGGTAGGAAAAATGTATAAGCCTCGATTTATTAGACGTGATTTAGAGGATTTAGAAACTGTACAAGGGATACGGATATCATTGATCAGTTACTAAATGGAACTGGCTACAAGAAATTCCGTATACCAGGTATGTGAAAGGATATCGTTGTTACTGCAGATTAATCGAGGAAAAAAATGACGTCCACATTGCTCAGTATCAGAGCTTTGTTATCAGTCCGTAATCTTATATTCTGCTGTTTTCTGTTTTCAACTTTTTCCGTTCATAACGACTATAGAAATCGTTGCGCGCAGCGTGAGTTACAACGACTTTCTTTACTTATGATGTTTTCTTCTTTTTCTCAAGAGACTTTCTTGTGTCTCTTGTTTTTTTTTTGATACATCACTAATTCCTCTACACACTCATATTCTTCTGGAGCATATATGGCTCTTATGAGTGAAAAAATTACGCTATTGACTACGAAGTCGCTGCCTTTGGCATTCAGTCAATTGTAACAAGCT